TTGACTGTGCTTGTCTTTTTTTAAATAATGTACCTTGGTTGGCTGTAAACTACATTATCCGTCTGATATAAAATAAAGTTTCCTGAATCTGAACTGAAAGAAATTCAGAAGTAGAATAAAGTTAATCTTGTTTGTAGATAAGTCAGTTTAACTCCGGTCTGACTATAAAAACTATTTTTTAGGGTCTGACAGACACAAAGATAATCAGCAGCAGCTCCCGGTTCAGCCCCATGTCGGTCCTGAGGGTCCCCAGTGACACAGACCTCAGCCAGAGTTACTCCCAGCATTCCTTGCACCGCAGTGTTAGTCAGCTGATCGACAGGAAGTCCCTGATGCTCGAAGAAGGAGGTTGGGACAATCCACTGGGACAAGATTCTGGACTGGTAAGGAAGGAATAATGTGTATGTTCAATAAGGATTTTAAAATGACATGTCAAGTACAGTTCTGTCATGACAGTTCTGACAGTCCATCATGTATTAGTGCCTACATGGCTAAAGTGGAAGTGGAAGACCCCGACCCTTAACTGAAATCACCTCAACTGTTTTTACTGATGCCGTCTAAGAGCTGTAATGTCAAAGATATTGTGTCAACAGATCTTGAAACACAGAGAAATGTATGAACAAACATTGTTCAGCAACACAGATAAGACTGAATGAGCCAAACAGATGCGCTAATAGACTTACTTTGAGCTACTTAAAGGAGCTTTCATCTAATGTTCATCTGGAGACTCCTGTGGAAAAAGTGTAATCCCTTATTTCTTTGCCCGTGTGCTGGTCAATGCTTTTTCTTCACAAACCCAGAAGAAGTTGTTACAAATGTTACATTATTTATATCTAGTCAGTCTTGTCCATGATGGTTTCTATAACTTCTGTAGGTCATTACAAGGCTTCAGTATTCATTTCAGTCTGTTTCATATTCAGATAAAAACTCCTCACAGGAGCTTTAAACGTGAAGTAAAGCTCTCTGATGATCCTTCCGTGCAGTCAATACAAAATACATGATCTATATTCTTCTTTGATACCACCACTGTAACAGATGGCCTATCACAGATTTATTGGATATAGCTCTTTTTTATTTTTTATTTTTTTACAAATCATAAGAAGACAAGAAGTAATGTGATTTGGAAATCTCTTAGTTTGTCCTGCAGAACTAGCCATGACTTGATAGTTTACAACACTGTGTGCCGCACAGTTAGCAGAGCGTCACAACTGAGCCGACAGGGGTCTACACTGTCAGCAATGGTTATTGGTCTAGCTTCCTGAGTATTCTGAAAAGTCAGAGCTTTATCCACGTTACAAAATGATATATATATATGTACCTGCAGTATATATATTTCTGTCTAAGGCCTGAGCATTCATTGTTCACACTGACATAATTATCCACCACTGTTCGCTTAAGCAAAAGACTATTCAAGGATCAAAGATTTATCTGATGTCACCATCACTAATGGTTCTCTGTCACTGAGTTTACAGTGATGTCATCAAACTGTTGCAGGAGTTTTAAATGTGTAATTGAGTTCTGTGTGTTCTCTTTTAGTACGTGGAAGAAGATGAGTTTGTGGACGCCATCAAAGCCTTCAGTTCTGGGAAAAAGGAACACACCATGTTCACAGACACACACCTCTAAGACAACATCTCAGCATTTCATGGGAAAGAATTAGACAATGTACAGTGCCTGAAGGAATATTGATTTGATGCAGTTTTACAACATAATGTGCTGATGTTCATTCAGTGTGAAATACTGATTACAACTGAAGACCAGTTTCACTTTCCATAGTGATATATTGAGGGCATTTTAAGAGTTTGATATTTATGTTGGGATATTGCAACATGTTTTGCAGCACATCATAACAGTAACAAGGCAGAAAAATGATAAAGAGATCAAATAAAATAAGTATCAAACATTTGTTGTGTAACAAAAAATATCCTGTGTGTGTGTATATATATATATATATATATATATATATATATATATATATATATATATGAGTAGTTAAATTGATTAGTAAAAAAACATTTTACAAATCAACATCATCACTATTAACGACGCAACATATTCAAATGAACAACAAGGGCCCGTATTCTCTACATTGCGGTAACAGATAAAGAAGAATTAGGATGAGGCGCCTAGCTACAAACATTTGGTCCTAGAGGAAGAGAAGTTGAGCAGCATAGACGTGGGGGGTAAGAGGTGTGTCAGGTTTTATGATAGAAATAGAAAGTTTAAAAGAAACACAGACTTTAAACATAAAAATAATTAGGGGTGATGGTTTAGCTCAGTTTGTTGAGTATGCAACCATATACAGAGGCTTAAGTCTTTATCACACTGGTTGCAGGATCTACTCCTGATTCTGATCTCTCACTCTCTCTCTCCCCTCTCTCTCTCTCTCTGTTCCTGTGTGAATGTCCAATCAAATAAAAGCAACATTTATGTTCAAGGATCTAAAGTCTTAACTTAAGTTGAGGCAGTGTTACAAACTGTATAAATACAGTTCTGTTATGGAAACAATGAGCAGTCAGTCTTCAGTATCCTACATACTGAACCCTGCTCAGACGAAGAACCAGAACAGTCTGTGTGTTTTGATTAAACATCTCTGCTTGCCAATTATTGACAGTTTAGTTTCAAAGATCAGCTTAAGCTCTGTTCCTCAGTACATACAGTAAACCTACACTAGTTACATACACATTATCAGCAGCAATAATATTGTAGGTCTGATAACAGTCATGGCCTTGTTAGTATTTTTGTGACAAAAATGCCAATTGTGTTTTTTATACAGAGTGTTATGTGGCTGGAATTCACAGATGTGCCGTCTTCTTGTTTTAGTTTTAGGATTTAACTTGAAAGCCCAATGTGATTAATGTTTTGTACAATATTTGTTCCTGACATACAGTTGACTCTTAAGTATTAAGCAGCTGAACATTTTAAATTTAAGCTTTGTTCCTGGTAGTTAGGCTGAATGTCTGCATTTCAATTTATAGAAAAAAAGAAAGTGGAATCCAGACTCAGTGTTGTTTGAGTGTTGCTCAATTTTCACTGTATCAAGAACATTATATTCTAATGTTAGAAAAACATGCAATGTCCTCCATAAAACTAATGAGACACAGATCTTAGTTTCAGAAGCTAAACATGGTAGAATCAGTGTTAATCAGATAGAGATGAATCTGAAGTTGAATTTCTGTGTAATGTTGATGGTTTCTCGTGTTCAGAATTGATTCTTGTTATTTTGTTTGACATTATTTTTTTACACGTTCAGTATTATTTATGGCTGTTGTATAAATGTTGAATTAAAGGTGTTTCATTATTTTCTGTGTGGTGATAAACTGGGCCAATGGTCAAGACAATGCTTCTATCTCCTTGTGTTTTTCTCCACTTGAACATGTGAACATTAAGAACCCGTGTAAACTGTTTACACGGGTTCTTAATAATGAAAAAAAAAAATTATTGGCTGCAGATATTATAATCCATTTGCTTTTAGTTATTAAGTTATCTAAATATCCCTCCTAATACTTCTAATCTCATATCCATGCACTTTATCTCTGACAGTTGACCCTGAAGTGTTTTGATTGGGATGATTGGAGAACTTTTAAGCAAACTCAAACTACGTTACAGTGAGTAGTTGAAAATATTTATATTTGTATATATACTTCAGAGAAGTCAGTATTAAAATGTAGTGATCAAAAGACGACAAACATCCCATGTTCAAGCCATCAACTTTGTCATGTGTTGCATTGAGAGAGGACCAAACTCCACACGATATATTAGTTCTTTCATCAAGTGAGTACCATTTGGATTACATATTCACTTTTCTTGAAGAAACACGCTACAGGAAGCTTAATAGTTTGCACTAACAGTTAAATGATTATCGTGCTATGTGGGTGCAGAAATGAGGAACGCACTCCTCGGATATTTAGCATTACAGACACATTTTGTCATATAAAGAAGCGATTGAACTGGTACCTTGTTATAACACAGTGATAATAAATGGATGAACACGACTATGATACATTAGAACTGCTCTGTTTGAATTGGCTCCTCACAGAGACTCAGACTGCTCATGGGGATCTAGCTGAAGTTGAAACGTGATTTTAGGAAGACTCATCTGCTGAGTTAGTAAAACCCAGACGTGTTGTCAGCTGCGCAGTCACAAACACAGAGGGACGCTATCTCCATCAAAACTATGCAGTAATTTAGTTTTTGCTCCTGCGTCCCTTTAGGGAACATCACGCCAAGTTTAAAATTAACAAACTGGCAGTAACAAGCGTGCCCTCGCTCAAGGACAGCAGCCTGACAAGGACACTTCTAAAACATTCACAGCCACATTCACAGCTATTGTCAGCTACGCAGGGAGGGAGAGGCTGTGAAAAGAAGGCTTGTGGAGTGATTGTAAGGGACAGTATGGCCGTGAGGCACGCGCGCACACACACGCGCGCGCGCGCACACACACGCACGCACACGCACACACACACACACACGCGCACACACACACACACACACACACACACACACACACACACACACACACGGTTTTATTAAACTCATAAATCATGATGACGACAGACGGCGTCTCAGAGAGGAGACTGTCTGAACGGGAAGGTTAGTGAAATGGAAGGGTTTGGGACACACACACACACACACACACACACACACACACACACACACACACACACCCACACACACGCACACACCTCGGACGCCCAAAACAACTAAACGTGTGCACTCTGGCAGCTTATTCTCACAAATCATAGGCTAACAAGTCCGCGGTGAGAGGCAGCATGTGTTTCAGCCTGCTGGCCTCTTGTACTGAGCCTAGTTTGAAAAGGTAAAAGGGCAGATAAAAAAACTCCCTTTTTCTATAAATGCATGCTCTCATAGACACTCATGAGGGACAAATAATTCACACCATAATTTCATTTACTCTTCATCAGTTGAACTGACGTGAAAACTGGACTGGAGTTAGTTTAGAGTTTTTACATTAAAAAGAAAAACGTTGTAAGAATGGATAAACGACAACACATTTATTTCACAATGGTCAATGCAACTCTTCAGAGAGTTCTTGTCAGCTGCTTAGAGTTTTCAGTGAACACAGTTTTAATGTAAACAACATTGAGACTCAAAGTTAAATGTCAAAACTATTTGATCGATATAGGCATTTGTAAATAATATTACAGCATAAAGCAGCTCACATACATGATGTAAGACACTGAAGTACGGGGCTGTTGAAACAAACAGATCGTATTTGTTTCAGCTCACTAACATGTGGCTGTAATATATTGTAAACATAGCCAGAGAGAAAGTGAGGGACAACAGATAAGGACAGTTAAAACAGTTATGTGCAGAATATACTTCAAACTTCATATTTTTTTTTATATAAAATAAACACTAGCAAGTTGCTTTCATATTAGTCTGAATAGTGCAAGTGCAAATGCTGTTAGGTCCAATAGCATGTAAATGTAACAATATATGATTATCAACAATATGTAATGGATAACAGTGTAAGATTCAACATCAGCACACACATCAATGCGTCCTCATTAGGACTTTGTTTTGATTATGTATGTTTACGTTACACACAGGTAATATGTGGGACTAAAGGTAAATCTTTGTACAGGCAAGCAGAGACCACGTGATCAGTTCGTCTTGCAACGCTGAATTAAAAAGCATGTAGTCAAAATAGATAATAAAATAAAGGTTATACAGCTGCCTGATTTGGCAAATCTTTTTTTTTTTTTTTTACATCACCTTTTTTTTCAGGGTTCTCCAAAGTGATATTATAAAGTACCGTAGATACACAGAGCTGGTGTGGCTTCTTTCACTGTTCCCTGACAAACAGCTTGCACAGATCTCACAGAGGGATGAACCAGTAAAGCAGATGTTACCTCATCAAGCTTTCTGTCATCTTACTTTCAGCTCTCTTTATAACTTCATGACAAAGGTGTGTTGTTTTCCTTTCCCTACCTAACATACTTTCACATTTACCCCTGTAGACTCGAACGTTACAAAGCATGTCTAAGATCCTCTAAGTTTTTCATTGAAGTTTGGATGTTTCACTTTAAACCTGGGTCAATATCATTTACATTTATTTAAAACAGGGGGTAATGATTTTATATGCAAGTCATTTCAATAAAAGCAACCACTGGTAGAATTAAATTTGGCCTGGTGTCAGTCCATCATGAGACAATTATATGAGGAGTCAGAGCAGACAGGTCCATAATGTGGCTCCACAATGTTCCAGCCTTCACACGCCTTTGGTCAGAATCACACAGGCTGATAACGGTCACACAAGTTAAATAAGGCACTGCAACAGTCATCCAAAACTAAAACAAGACACATTTAAATATTTTTCAGAGTAAAGTGATGTAGTGTAGGTCCTTGTAAACTGTAAAAAAAATAAATTGCACTGTAAATAATAAGGTATGTCACCTTGCAGAGGCACCACCGCTGATTTGAATAAATGATTTCTCTCCACTCGATCTCTACTTAAAATCTTACTCCACCTACCTAGCTCAAACTGTAGGCTCCAGGTTCACTTCCATAGAATATGTTAAATGATATTGCCTCGTACTTCTGCACTGGACTTGACATTTTTCATGGCAGACATTTGCCAAAAGAAAGGTTAAAGTGACATTTATTACATAACTGTGATCTAATAAGGTGAGCTAGTTTAAAGTGTTTTTATCGTTGAAAACTGCTGACTAATGTACCTCGTTCTGATATTTGAATGACCTGTATCATAGCTGAAAACATTTGTCACACCTGAGCTTTTCCTGTGATGATGAGGTGTAATGTCTACTATGGAGGGGGTCAGAGTTTTCAGGTCTTTGCCTTTGTTAAAAGAAGATTTGACTTCTCGCAGGTAATAATGCAGATGACCAGATACTATTCAGAACAGACATCAACATTTGCTGTTCCTGATGCTTCCATGTCAGAACTTGTTAGTTTTGGTGTTTTGTGTCTTAATCTTTGTTGTAACCAAGATGTCACTATCCTGTCAAGCAGCCACATTCACTGCACACTGGAAGAGGAATCTGACCTGGTGTCAGTGCTTTAGCTTTTACCATTGTGTCTCTGGCTGCAGCATTTAGATTCAAGTAGCTGCCAAAGTCTGGGTTTGAAACACGTTCACGGTCAGTTAAAGCAGAAATTTGACACACAGTGTCAGACACTCACATGGTCAAGACTTTTGTCATTTAAAGGGGCCTGAACCTTTTGAAAAATCCAAAAGGAAATTAAACTGTTAGTAAATATTTAAACCATTGAAAAGATCTGCTGGTTTCAGCATCTTAAATGAGAAGATTAGCTGCTTTCTAAAATTGTAATTGTTGTATAAAGAATATTTTAGTGATGTTTGTTTCAGTCCAGCCATGAAATTAATGTAAATCAAATGAAATGTTATTCATGTGCAGTTTTTGATTTCATTTCATTTTAAATGAGTTGTGTATGAATCTCTACCAGAGTTAAGGTCCAAACAAACACGTTCATGTGTAGGCTGGACTTTGTTGATTCATTTTTGTTTCCAATAACTGTTGATAAGATATAAACAACCTTAAAACAGGGAGAGAAATCGACTTCAGCAGTTCTGCTGGACTAACTGAGAAAAGAGGCTGCAGATTCTAAATGTGCTGCCTTCAGACATCAGCCATCTGTGAAGGCTTCAAACCAACTCCAAAAGCAAACTCCAAAAGTTGGATCTCCAGTTGTAACCAGCAGATTTGTGTGTGTCAGAACATGAAATCTTTTAAATGATCAAAAACAAAATGCACTCCTCTCCCGGCTGAGATAGCATGCTCTTAGCTCATGCTGCACGACAGAATTTAAAGTCAAAAGTAAGACGCCATGCTAAAGTTCCACTGACTTTTCAGTGTTCGAAGCAAACTGAGTAAAAATGACCTGACCTCAGATACAACTCATCAGTGTGGCGTCCATAAGAGGAAGGTCCACTCTCCAGTTACATCATGACCCATTAAAAAACCTTCAATAGAGTGGATGGAGAAGTCCTGTAATTGATGCCATATTCCTCCTCCGCTGTGATTACCAGGTCTCAGTTTCAACATGCCCCTACAGAACACCTCCTACAAGATGATTCCTCTAAAATCTGAGTATGAAGAGGGTAGGGGTGGCCACAGTGCGCCGTCACAAACAGCTGTCCTGATTGGAAAGCTCAGGGGCCAGCTTCCTATGTCGAGGTGAGGTGGAGGAGGAGGAGGAAAGTTTGGTTGGGGAAGGGGAGGCATTTGATGATGAGTCGCTGCCTCCTCCATCAGATCCAGAGGGGAGGGAGGAGAGGTGGGGTACTGGGGGAGCCCTCTTCCTACCAAGAAAGCCTCCTTCTAGTACTCCTCTCTTCCTCACACCGCCCTCTGCCTTTACACCCTCTCCACCTGATCCTGAACCATCTCCCTCCTCTGGCTGAGGGAGTACCTTTCGCCTAACGTCACCTCCAGGAATAGGGCTGTCAGGTGGTTGCCGTGGAGATTCTTGAGCACCTTCTGCTTTCAACCCGCAAACACCAGCAGTCATCAAACCTGCAATGGATGTATGAGAGTTGGAGCTAGCTGTTCGACAGGCCCAGAGTTCCATAGCTGACGCTCTCCTCTCGCTGTCCTCAGACCCAAAGTCACAGAGTGAGCGCCGGGTGTCGGGGGGCTGGCTGGGGCCCTGGGAGTCCAGGATGCCTCGACTCAGGCTGAAGTTTTGGAAGTCTCTATGAAAAGAAGGAATGTCAAAGCAAATTCAGATTCAGGCATAAATACTCTCCGGGGGACTGCAGTTTAAAATCAGGTACTAGTGGAGCGATGCAAAACTTCACTTTCTTTGGCTGAATTATTTGATTAAACACAATTTTTAAGTAAACAGGAATCATGGACAATTGTAAATGTAATCTGGCTCTTTTGGATGAGGTGCAATATGGTTATCTTCAAGTCCTCCAATTCATAATATAAATGTTATCCTCACGGTATCTAGTCAATGCTCTTAGCTTTGCTTTAATTAGTTCTGAATCTAGTCAGTAGTTATCAAGAACGAAAATCGAGAAAAAAAAAATCGATATGGCTTCATAGCCATAGAGGTCACTGAGGATTTTTGAATTTAGTTGAACAGACCGGTAGCTGTGGAAGGACTCAGTTCTCCGTGCGCGGGCCAGCAGGGGGCTCTCTCTGTAGGGTCTCACTGCTCCATAAGTAGCCTGACTCTCAGGGATTGGCTCCTGGGCCTGTAGCTGCAGACTGCAAACAATGAAAGAGAGAGACGGGGATGAAACAGCTTCATGGCTGGGGAAATAAATCTTTGCACAATTATGATCACATGTTTGACAACCATAGAACAAATTAACTCAAGGAGTGCCTTATTTCATGTGTACATGCAAAGATGATTCAGTACTGGCTGAAAGTTCAGAAGGTGAAGTGTGAGGTCATGGTAGATTACTACCTCATTATGTTGTCTATTCCTACTACGTAGTTATACGTCTTTGTCATTGTAAGTGTTTCATTCTCACCTTGAGCAGGACTCCCGGAGGCGTGTGTGGTGCAGGACAGAGGGGGCGGGGCTTATATTTGGTGTAGCACAGCGAGAGGTGCTCAGGTCACATTGGTCCAACAGCTGCAGCAGCTCTTCTTCTGTTGGCCCGCCTGCATCTATAAACACAAGAGCAGCTTCAGAACACATGTATACACTTCTATCACTCTCTCTCCTCCTTCTGTCTCTCTTTCCTCACCCTCTCTCTTCCTCTCCTCTCCTTTGTTGGCCGTGTCCATCGCCGTTGTCAGGTCCCACATTTGGATGCTTCCGTTGCCGTGACCGGTGAAAAGATAGCGTCGAGGACGGGATCCCATCCGGCTGGAGCCCTCACACTCTCGTACCATGAAGCAAGATATGGTGGTGCCATCTACAGACTGCACCTCACAGATCCTGACAAACACACACACGTCAACATAGAGCCTTCAAATACAAACAAATTCAAGCTCCATACATAGGTCAAATAGAAGTTTAGACATTTAGAAATAGACGTCAAGTGAGATTTCACCGTTCTCCAACCTCCCAGATTATAAAACTAAGAAAAGAATAAGGCACATTTTTGAGAGAGTTAGAATATTTTACCTCTTTCCAGTAGATGACAGCCTCACAAACAGTTTGTTTGTGATGGGTATGACCTTCTGTATGAAAACCTGCTGATCGTCTCTCTCTCCAAACGGACCTGAGAGAAGAAGAAAAGTCGTACCCTATTCAAATTCTAAACTTTTAATCGTCACACACAAAATTTAACACGGTACAATGTGCAGTGAAATGCTGCTTGTATCTGTCCAGCCAAGGAAATAAACACATTTATGTAGACAGAATATATTCTAAGAACAGAAAAAACCCCTCAGAGTACAATAAAAACTACGTATTTACAAAATAGAAAATATAGAATAGAAAAAATAAATTTCTTTTTAGAGATGCAGTCCAAGGAAGCTTGTAAATAAATGATTAATTCATTGTCAGTCTTATTAGAAGCTATTCAATCAAGTTACATTTAAACTGGATCCTGTTTCCTTTAAGTGGCCAGTATTAAATGTAAAGCTTGTAGCACAAATCTTCATATTTAAGTGTACCAGATATCTACTCAATCGTAATGTAAAAATAAAGATCCAAGCATCATTAGTCATGTCACCTCAACATCTGTGTCTCTCCTCCAAGCACCACAGCATCAGATAATCCTTCTTGTCCTCGTCATAAATGAAACCACCCTTACCCTCTTCTTCTATTTTACATGATCCTTCTTTCTTACCGATATCGTTCCCAGAGCAGTAGCTCCCGTGGCTCTCCGTCTCTTCCAGGGATAGTATTTTGAAGGAAGCCAGAGGGGTGGAGCCCGGTTGGGTCGAGATCATCCCTCTGAACCGGGTCACAGTCCATGTCCTAACATGGTTGTTGTCTGCACACACTGACATGCACAGACAAAGAACCATCACATCACACACCATTTTAATCACAAGTATACACAAAATGCAAAAAAAAAAAAAAAAAAGAGAACAAAAGAACAGAACATAAGGGACGATAAGTCCACTGTCGGCTTATCCTTTTTTTTCTGGACCAGCTCTGTCGTCTGAAATACGTTACTCCCTCCTCACCTGATACCAGATGTTTCTCAGACAGCATGATCTTGGTCACGGGGCTCCTGTGCACAGTGAATGTCTGAAAGAGCTGAGGCCCTGATCCTACTGTCTCTGGGTGCTGAACGATGACTCTCACTGCACCGCTGCTCGTCCCATAGGCTATCTCTATCCAGTTCCCACTCACACCTGAGAGCAGAGAGAGATAAAAAAAAAAAAAGACAGGTATAAATGCCAGAATACAATTTTTAAATTAGATTTTTTTTTTCCAATAGGAGAAAGACAATACTGTTGGATTACTGACTGGTTTTAGGTGTGAGGTAGACAGACAGGGCGGTGATGGCATCGTTTGAAGGGTCATGATAAAGCTCTGTCACTAATAGATCGTTATCCTTCATCCTTAGAGGAAACTTTTGCATGTCTGAAGAGCAAAAGAAAAAAAATGTTAATGCATCAGAATTAAATCCCTTTAATTACTGTGTGTGTGTGTGTGTGTGTGTGTGTGTGTGTGTGTGTACCTATGTAGTAGATAGAGCCATTGTTACAGCCCAGAAGAAGGAAGGATCCTGCTGTGTCACAACTGGTGATAGGAACCACGTCTTGAACCTGACAGATACACACAAAATACAACCAACAATGAGTCAAACAGAAAATCTTTGTAGATACTTTGTTTAAAATGTGCAAATGGTGGTGGAGAAATACTGTAAACTTTGCTTAAACACTCATTGAGACCTCAAACCCTTTCTGAAAATTCACCGTTTTAATAGAACATTTAAACACAAACATGTTTAACCAGTCCTCGACTATATATCTACTCTCACACACACACACACGCACACACACACAAACATACCCTCCTACCTGCCAGTGCTGTGTGACAGCATTCCACACCCCAACTTTCCCTGTGTGGCTCGTAGCCACCAGCTGGTTCCCGATGAAGAAGAGATCATCCACAGGTACGCCCAGACTGAACACACCTGGGGTGACAGGGAGACAGAGGAGGTAGTGTGAGGGGAGTGAAGGCTAAAGTCACAGAGTGCAGGAGGTCAGCTCCCCACTTAACTGAAGGTGTCCAATCTTTTCATAACCACTCTTTCTACATTTTATTGCATCTTTGAACATGAACACTTCATATCCTGTTTCCTTGCTGTACGAGGGTGAACAGCTAAAACCACCACGTAGAGTCATTTATGGATAAAGTACATTCTGGTGTGATCATTTGAAGTGGTGCAATTATGTACAATTAAACAATAGTTTGTACCATCCCAACAGAATATCAAGGTGTTTCCCTGTCTGTACAGCACTTCTTAGAGTCACGTAGCATCGGGAGGAACAGTAATAAAACAGACACATATGTATCTCTCTGTTTACCTATCTCATTGCCGCTGCCTCCGTCTTGGATGCTCCAGAGGATGATGCTGCTTTCAGACGCAGCCGCCACCATCTTGTCCTTGTCTCCGTGTGGGCCGCCCACCACCTTGGCATTAAGTGCAATGCGCTCAATGGTCCGGTCAAGGTAAGGGGAGGAAAACACCTGCTGCCATCCAGAAGATTCCTTTATCCTGTAGTGTCAGACGCACACACCAACACACTATTGACCGTGCTTTTTCTCTCACTCTCCATTGTGGAGAGTGTTGTGAGTGTTTCAGCTTTCTTTGCCTCAGCCTTATACATCAGCGTTATCTCACATTCGTATGTTAACAATGCATAACCCAGTTGTAGCTAATTTGCACTAAACAAGTGAAGAGCCAAAGTAACAGCTCGTGTGCTGCTACAAAAAGAGGAGCCTTAAGTGAGAAATGTGAAACCTCAGAGATAATAACCCTCCCATTGTGAATAATTTAAAGTCCCCCCCTTATGAACCAAAGAGTGGATGAGATATATTTTAACCAGCCAGGTTTATTACCTGTAGCAGATTACAAAGTGAGCATAAGCTGCTACAATCCAGTTGTGGTGTCCCGCTACGATCAGCACTTTCCTGGGGTCGACAACTGGACCTACACACATACAGACAGAACACGGACAAACACACTGCTTTCAATGCCTGACAGTCACACTGAGTGCAATGAAACGAAAAGGTCTAGAAGCAAGAAGAGATCGGCTCTCAAGTTCCTCTACATCAGTCCAGAGCACACTCTCTCTTTGTTTATTGCAGCTCACTACACTCTGATGTCATCCTCAACAAAGAGCGGGCTGATGTGAAACTAGGCTACCTCAGTCAGGGCTGTTAGCTAAAAGGATGTGTCAGGTCACATTAGCTGCAGCATTAAAGCACACACACACTGAAACACACACACACTCCCATTTAGAGTGTGTATCACACACATACAGATGTGAAACATACAAACATACAGAAATCCAGACCTACACAGCATGCTCATACAACAGACAGTGACACAGAGTCCAACTGACAGCTCGTCATCAACACAACAGTCCTTTTTACATTTGCTGCTTGCTTTATTATGTTAAGATGCAGAGATGCTTTAACAAAGATGGGTTTCTGCCACACAACAGTTGCATCTATGGTTAAAATTTACGGCTTTAACTTGTTTTTTTTTCTTTTACATTTGGACACAGCTGCATAAACCTGCCAAAGGCTACTCACCCAGTTTGTGGTTGCCATCTGTTCCAGGTGAGAGGGAAGGGTGGGGAGGAGGACCAACACGGGTGAAGCCCTCAGCTCCACCCGGACCCGGATGCTCATCAGACGAGGCCGCTGGAGCAGGGCTTGGCTTACGCGCGGGGATCGCTGTGAAAGGAAACATGCACTGAGAGTATGATACAGACATTTCTGCAGACTATGTTTTTTTTCTGTCACTGCTTTCATGAGTTTGTTTTTGAAACACCCGTTTGTTATTCAGGTCACAATAAGAGGTTTTCATCGTTTTACTTTAATATCTGTACTGCACAGTTTTATGTCCTTACCTGGAGGCGGCAGGTAACCATGGAAGAGAACACTGCCACATGATGAGCGGTCCAGCTCCTCACACAGCAGCAGACGCCGCACTGCACACATAAACACACATTGGTACAGGCACACACACACAAACACTACAAAGAGTCTATGATGACCAGAGTCACGTGAAAGAGATTTTTTAACATTAACTGTCAACTTATTCAATTACTATAGAACATTTGAGTAGTTGATGTAATGATAAATCACTTTGTTCAGTGTATTTTAAACCTTATATTCTATTTCTTTATTTTTCTAATTTCTTAAAATCACACACAACTATTTAAATCCTGCCTTTCTGCTGTAACTGAGATCGGGTGTAACTCACTTCTATTGGATTAGATTAATGCTTTGCACATTATGACTCTAAGCAAGTGATTGGTTTTCACAAAGGTAACTTTCCCATTCAAGTACAGACAATGCCGGGAAGTTACAAACATTGAAACAGGAAGTTAAACAATCTCAGAGTTCATAGGACTAACAGTAATTACTTTCAGAGCGTAGCCAAGTAGCACAAACAACACTTGACATTACAGTACAATATTTCCCGTTTGTCAAAGTAGTGAGAGCTGTTTTAGCTGCATCTATAACACCTGCACACTCAGCTGATATACTTTGAGTTGTTAACACACAGTGAGTGTTGATCCGCTCCTTGTAATGAAATATGAGACTTTCCATAAAATATCTAAAGGGATCCATATTAGTGCTTAAAATAATGCTAAAACCATTTCGATCTATGTACTGCAACTCACCTAAAGGTGTTATTCCGTAAAACTCTGCTTCATGTCGCAGGACACTGATGTTGACACCTCTACAGAGAAAAAAAACAAGTTTAAACACCTCATTGTCCTAGGATCCACATTCTGGGATTTATTTGAATGGTGTCTTGACTTCTTACCGTAGGTCTAATTCTTTGGTTCTTAGAAAATTCAAAATTGGTGCAAAAGCTGTAGGATCCCTGTCAATAAATATCTGCAAAGGAAGGAACATGTGAGTTGATGAAAATGCATAAATCAACCATTTGAATAAAAGTCTCTTAAAATTAAAAGTCCTGCACTTCACTTTTTTAGACCTATACTGAGGAGGTCATGAGGTAGTGCTGAGATGATTCCTTATTGAAACTGGATGTGTGATGTGTGCCACAGAATGTGATATATTGTATCATTATATGGTTTCAAATTGTTTAATGTTTCATCTTTAATGTTTGTAAGCATACACATAATTATATATTAATTTGTAACAGAACAGAATAGATGTCGAGTCACAGCAGAGGGAAGCTTCAAGACAGTTTTCAGATGTTGCATGATGCCTGCAGATAGTGTGCTGGTTTGTCTATAAGAAACAACAAAGGCCATACTCACAGCTCCAGTTTCATCCCGAAGAGTTGATATCCTTCCACTCAGCAAACTGGATCCCATACATATACATGTACACATGTACACACACACACACGCACGCACACGCACACAAACAGAGAGCTCCAGTTAACCCAAACACTTCTCAATTTCCACTTACCAGCAATGTTACCACAACCTGAAGTAAACACACAAGTTATTTGCTAAGTAAACAATCCTTAAGTTGTTTTCTCTTGGCTACAGTTTAATGTTGCACATTTGTAAAAAGAATGTTTCTACATTGACTGCTGTGCACACTTCAGACAGCTGGAGGCAGACAGGCTGAAAGACAGACAGACAGGCTGACAGGCTGACAGACAGACAGACAGACAGACAGACAGACAGGTGTGCTGGCATTACTCAGTCAGCTGTTGTCAAAGTTTGAACTCAGTTCAGTGTTTGAGTTTCTTTAGGAATGTGGTATTTTCTCAGCACCAATTATCCATTTCTCCTTAGCTTTCTCTCATAGGCTGTATAAAATAGGCTCCCCATGGGGCAGGAGTATCACTGAAATAACTAACAGAAAATGTGTGAAACACCTCGATGTGATGAACAAACATAATTTATTTATCCATATCTTTAAATTTAAAAAATGGTTCAAACAAGGGATGACTGTAACAGTGCTCACGTTGAATACTGGATGATACAAGCCAAGACCTTTGCCTCTCTTATAACTATATAATAACAAACAACATATTTAACAACAAAAAAAGAGCCGAAATAATGCACATAACTTGTTTTTTCACATTATTCCAGTTGTATGTTACTGTAACTGCAATCGCTTGATGTTTTAAATCACCAAACCAGCAGACACTGAAGCAAGACAGACAGGAGAACAGAACATGCCTACTTTACATTAATTATGTAATAAGATTGTTGTTTTACAGGGTTGCAAATGCACTATAGCATGCTCTTCTTTTCTTGACCTGTTTCTGGTGCGACTCATCCATGCTGAAGATACAGTTCAACACAGGGAGTCTGGAGAAGTTTAATCTACTCCATGCTAGTTGGTTAACGCGTCCACACTTTGCAAGACGCACATTTGGTCATGTAGGGACATTACGTTCCCTTTTTGCCATCGTGTTTATACTAAATATTGACAGTATAAGACCCAATCCTATGTAATATTTAGATAGTTGAAATATATACATTCCCCAATACAACACTGACAGCATTTTAGTGACTTCTCATTTCTTTAGTTGACCACAGGTGAAGTGAGAGTAACACTTGCCCTGACAGTTCAGACTCTTCATATGCTTTCACATCCAGACAACATTTGACAAACCTTGAGAAGAAAGAGTCTGGGATCCACATCAGAGTCTGTCTGGAGGTGCAGAACCTTCAGTATGAAGACACAATAGAAAATGTATTATCTGTGCCAGAATATGTAGAGTCAGTGAGTGTACTTCTGAGAATGAAAATAGTGGATGTATTATAAGTTGAACAATTGTTGAGCATGCCAATAAAGGAACTACTTTACTGGTGAATTTAATACCACCAATGACTTAATATATGAGTATATCGTTTAAGGTTAAAATGTTGAAGCTATCCCAGTATGTGTGTGTGTGAGGGGGAGAAAGACATGCTGAGAAAGTGCTTATTAAAGAGAGTTTAGTAACCTACACACAATCTAGTAGTCTATTAACTCCAGGGCTGCTTGGACGTGCACTTATAATCAAACACGGATAAAACAAAGATCACATTTCCAAGACCATCATCATGATGAAGCTTACCTTGTACCACCGACGTTCAGCTGGATGATGTCTCCCATCCCAAGCGGCGGGTTGTTACCATTTGTAGCCATAATGATGACCGAGCTGCTGTTAGAAGTCCCTGTTCTGTTTAGAGGATATACTACAGTCTCACAGCTAGCCTGCTAACGCTCCTCTCTGCAGCCCAGCCGATGTCCCGACTCCCCAGCCTCACAACCTCTCCCTCGTCCCACCGTCCATAAAATATCCGCTACGCGCGACCTATGGGGACGTCGTCAGTGTGGTCAGGTCTCCGCATCGCAGGCGAAGAGAGACAGGGCTCTATTTTATCCATAAGACAGACACAAGAAGTCCATCATTTTCATGCGGGCTTGTTTGCATCACTGCGTTGAATATAAGCAAATCGTGGATAACATCTTGCGCAGAAAATCAGCAACGAGAAACAGCTGTACAAACCGTGTACAAGCGAGGCGAGATGGTTCCCTGCTAACAACTTCCGGTTTCGCCGACTTAACCATTTTGAGTGAACTCTTAAGTCTTCGCTTTGTGGAAAAGAATTAGCTTTAACAAGTTTGGTTTCATGTTTGTTGTGTTTGGTTTTAAATTTATGTAGAACATTTTTAATCTACTTAGCTGTATTCCTTAAGCGGTCCACTCACATCCACACTACCGTCATGGAGGGGAACTATCTTGGTTGTCATTTGAGCTGGTCGCCGTCAGCAGTGCGCTTGATTTTAAGTGATGGACGGCAACATCTCTGGGACAAAAAGCCTCAGTGTCCCAGCGTTATGTGGACCCAACACACTAGATATAGACATTTAGACAAATCATTTAATTGCGAATATAGGAATTACTTAGCCTTGCTATACAAACATTTGTTTATTTGTTATTAAATTGTATATCTGACAGTCAAGGTCCCGCTGTTTTGGACTTTTTGTTAACTCCACACCACTGCGTCTTTTGTGCGCAAACAAGCGCTCCCAAAGTGAAGCCCCACCCCTCCCACTTCTGCTGAGGGAAAGAGACTGGAAGCCCAACATATTTTATGACGAACTACATTTTTTCTTTTTAGCATAAAGCGTCTCTTTTAACTGCTTTTCATCAACATGTAACCCGAGGATATTGATCTTGCGGTAGGTAAGATGCCTGATGCTTTGTCGCTCTGTTTTATGTTCGCCATTTATTTATTTACCTCACATTAGCTTGTTTGCCGGGGAAAGTTAGCTAAGGTGTGGGAGGCTGAACTTCTGTAAGCTAACATTGAGCCCTCAAACGCATCGTTAGCTATGATATTAGGCCTACAGTAAGTTAAAATGTCTCAACTTTCAGCCTCCTTCAACAGGAATGTTTATCTGCAGCTGAGTTCAACCAATAGCATCCGATATAAGTTCATGTCAAAGTTGTAAACTAACAGAGGCAGAAAGGAACTTGAAAATATAATGCTTGTAACTTTATAGCTAAAGGTAACAATACCCCCTCTCTTTCTACATGATTCATTTGTCAGCACTCCTTCCTCCGTCAGCTGTACTTTGTTGAAAGCCAGGCCGAAGAAATGGATTTGTGACCAGCACCCAGACTGAGGAGAAAGCACTGAGGAGGCTTCCCATCATATATTGCAGCTAAAGGAGCTAAAGGCTGGACAAGAAAAGATAGCAGACTTAAAAGTCATAATGTCAGAGACACAGGAGCAAGGAGCTCCAGGTACAGAGGGAAACGTGCCAGAGGTCACGGCAGGACACATGCCCAGTAATAGTCCACAGGTACAAGATGCAGCATCTGGGGCTGCACCTTTGACCATACAGCCTCCTGTCACCACAGCAACTGAGGATGAGGATGAGAGTGAAGATGAGTCTGAGATCTTGGAGGAGAGTCCCTGTGGCCGCTGGCAGAAACGCAGAGAGGAGGTAGGATGGAGCCTTTTTTTTTAAAGTTGTTATGGGACTCATACATTGCTCTGCACTTTTTAAAGTGACCTTAAGCTTTGAGGTTGACTGGATTCATGGATGCAATAATATTGTGTGATACTTTTCTTCTTGCTGTTTAAGACAACAAAATAATATTCAAACATATCGTATTAGTTAAAATAGTTTTATATTTACTGCAGGATCATTATTAACACATATATGTTTTAGAGGGGGCAGATAATGAATGCTATTGAAGTTTTATTGTTTAATTTGTGCACGTCTTGTATTTCACTTCATTGATAAAATGTATTCTAACTTCTCTCTGGAAATTCTGTTGCAGGTGAATCAGCGTAATGTCCCAGGGATCGATGCTGCGTACTTGGCCATGGACACAGAGGAAGGTGTGGAGGTGGTTTGGAATGAAGTCATGATCTCAGAAAGAAAAAACTTCAAACCGCTGGAGGTGAGATACGGTGTCACAGAGTTTTGGTCATATAGATCTGTCCAAAGATTTAATTGTACAGTTAAATAAATGTGGACCAGTGAAAGAAAGCGAAACACATTTTCTTTGTCAACTTACCTCAGGGATCTCCAAGGAAATTAGCAAAAAGCACATTTAAGAAGCTGCATGGGAACAGCGTTGCTTGAAAATAATTATTTTCTCACTTTCATTAATATCATTAATATTTGGTGTATTTTCTGCGACATAACTTAATGTTGCAGCTCTCGTGTATAAGAACTTACCACTCGAGGCTGAGTTTTATCACCGACTGGTGTTAGAGAACAAGATCAGATGTTCAAAGCTATTTGACAACCTGCACAAGAAATGAATCTTCAGAATTTGTCCACGTGTATGGATAGATAATTCATAAAATATAACCTACCAGTAAGATAGAGAGGAGTTTAAAGTGTTGTGTAAACTGTTTTTTATGCTTCATTTCCCATGTGTGTTTAGGAGAAAGTAAAGGCAGTATTTGATAAGCTGATCCATTTGGAACATGCAAATATTGTCAAATTCCACAAGTACTGGGCGGACACAAAGGAGAACCGGGCCAGGGTGAGTCTCTGAGCTGCCAAAACACTCACTGTTGTCCCTAAAACTGGAGACATAGGCGTGTTATTGAACGTTTGACTTTCCTCATTTAAAAAAATGTAATGTAATTATATTTCCCATTCTTTCTTTCTGTCTTCAGGTGATTTTCATCACTGAGTACATGTCATCAGGGAGTTTGAAGCAGTTTTTAAAAAAGACAAAGAAGAATCACAAAACCATGAATGAAAAGGTAACACCTGAGTCTTCAGTAATAGTACTAAGTGGTGGTGAAAGTCTGACAGCTGTACCTGCACGTCACATGTTGTGATAAGTGACAGCTACTTTATCATAGGATGGACGAGAAGGTCTTTGGAAAGTGATTAAAGAAACGTTTGAATAGATCAATTGGCTGTTAGAAAAAGGAAGAACACTTATATGCAAACTGTACGCTGATTTGACCAGAGTCATAGATTCTCCATATTACAAACATACTGTGTATGCTCCTACAGGCTTGGAAGAGATGGTGCACACAGATCCTGTCTGCTCTCAGGTTGGTTTCCCCTATTCATCAATTATTTTAAATTCAAACTGGTGGTTGCTGAAGGAGAAATTCACTTTTCTTGATCATAAACAATCTGAATCATTTTGTCATGTAGTTTATTTTTGTGTTTTGTGTTTTTTCTTCGGTGCTGCAGTTATCTCCACTCATGTGATCCTCCCATCATCCACGGCAATCTGACCTGCGACACCATCTTCATCCAACACAACGGGCTCATCAAGATTGGATCAGGTATGAAGAAGCCCTTGTTTCAGTCTTGAGAGGGTATTGGGCTGGAGTGAATGATAGAATAATACTGAATTGAAGGAAGGAATATATGAACCTTTTTTTCCGAGTCCGAACCAACCAAACACATTGTGTGAGTGTAATTTAGACGTCCACTGTTGTGTGTGCACGTACTCAATGACTTGAGTGCAGCTACAAAAGCCCCATCTGCTAAAGACAGCTTCCTAACTCCACAGTACATTCTGTAGATTTAACATTTTATCTTCCTCATGCTTCATACTTACTTTTCTGAAAATGCTCCAACCTTCTTCTATCTGTCGTTTAAAGTCTTATCTCTTGTTCTCATCTGCAGTTGCTCCGGACACCATCAACAGCCATGTGAAGACGTGTCATGAGGAGCAGAAGAACCTGCATTTCTATGCACCAGAATATGGAGGTAGACACAATTTAAAAGACATTTTGAAGTCACTTCAGGGCTGAGCTCCAGAATAAACCAGACTATGCAGATGTGTTGAAAAATCTCTTAAAACAATCCTTTTTTTTCATTTTATTCACCAAACTATGTGGTCTCTCACAACATTAAACCATGTATTGGATTAAAAAAAGTACAGTTCAATCATGATAACATACTTTTCATGTTTTTCTTTGGTTTACAACATAACATGGCAGAAATGTCATTGAATTAAACCCTTTTCACAAATACAGAAATCTCCTGAAAATCTCCGGAGATTAGGCTACCCGGAGGGGCTTTAGGCTATATGTGAACGCAAACAGCCAAATTTTTCACGCAAACTTCACCCGGAGTTTATCCTGCCTTGTTTTTTTTAAGTCACGTCTTACCTCAGGAAATCCCCCGACCCCCCTCCCGTCTGACAGGGATAGTCCCCCGCTGTGAGGAGCATATGTGGACGGCTAGGTCGGGAGAATCTCCGGAGAAGTCCTCCTGTAAATATCTAGATATTATCCGGAGTGCATATGTGCAATCAGCTATATCGTTACATGTGCTGGCTAAGCATTTGATACTGACGTTTGTAGACAAAGGTACTCAATGCTGAGGACACAATTTGGTCACTATACAGTATACATCAGTGAGGCGCCCATTTGATAAACCCGGTGATGTCTTTGCTCTTGCTGCTCATATATTGTGGGGCCATTAGGGTCATGTAGTAGGTTAGGTGAGGGGTCAGCAGGCCATAACTGGAAGGAAGGGTTTCCTCACTGAGTACTTATCCTTTTCATGAGGGCACAAGCATCTTGTGTTTTATTTTAAATTCCGCACTAAATGTTTTTGTGTCTGCATTTTGATTGCAGTCTTATCATGAAAAAGCGCTGATTCAAACCTTTATGAATGCTTTTTGTTATAGTTTGAGGTCTAAAATAATGATTAAACAATGAAATAACATTAGTTCATTTTCTGCCTATTCTTTCTTAAGCTGATGATGATGTCACCACAGCTGTAGACATCTACTCCTTTGGCATGTGTGCCTTAGAGGTGAGACTATGGGACTCATGTTAAATGATGGAATGGCCTGTGTCTTTCCGTAATGCAACTCATTGATGTGAGTGTTGGTGTGCTTCAGATGGCGCTCTTGGAAATCCAGGGGAATGGAGAGTCCTCCTATGTCTCTCAGGAGGCCATCACCAATGCCATTCAGTTACTAGAGGACCCGCTGCAGAGGGTGAGATGAAGACAGCAGACTTATGTTTATGTTTGTATGTTCATGAGTATCTTGACAAATAATGCCAGTATAAACTGCCTCCTTGCTTTACATTAAACCTATCCCTTAGCTTTGATGATGAACATCTAATTAGGTAAACAAGTCACCTTTGCAGAGGTGTGAGACTAAAATGTTTGTTTTGTTTTTTTTGCAGGAGTTAATCCAGAAGTGCCTCGAGTGTGATCCCAGTACGAGGCCTACAGCCAGAGAGATGCTGTTTAATCAGGCTTTGTTTGAAGTACCGCTGCTAAAACTGCTGGCTGCACATTGTATTGTCAGCCACCAACGTGAGTGTTTAACATACACATACAAAAATACCAGAACACAGAGTAACAGTTTTGATAATCTGGACCAAAGACTGCATAGATGATGTGAACATAGACTCTTAATCTCAAAGTTAAAGCAAATACAGAAGGGCCTTCAACCTGCATTCTCTCTAATGTCCACAAGGTGGAGGCTCTATTGTTTGCAAACAGATGAGCCTACCTGTATGTTATGAAGAGTTTTTTTTATGGTTCAGTTAATATTTTGCTGATGATCCTATGGCCTCTTAAATACAGCAAGATGTTTTACTTTGTCAATAGTATTCCCATTTCTAGTGAAATAGATGATAAGACCTTAAGAAATGAGGTGAGTTGTGATAATGACTAAGTTTATTCCTTATTACGTTTTATTTCCACACAAACTGAAGCACTGGACCATCTGATACAAAAACCACTTACATTCAGTGTGGGATTTTTCCTTTTCTTTTACATGATCAGATAAAACTAATAATAAGTTATTAAATTATACATTTAAAAAAAGATTGATCCTAACAGCCAATTTGTTTGTTTTATTATTATCCAGACATGATTCCTGAGAATGCCCTGCAGGAGATAACCAAGAACCTGGACCCCAACCTAGTCATCGCTGAGACAAGAGAGGACGTTCAGCTTAAGTAAGCTAATAATAATGAAAGATAATTCAGTAACAACAGATACAAATGTTTTACTTAGAATCAGAATCCGATTCTGATAAAAGCAGCACTCATGCATTTCTTTATGTTTAGCAAAGGTAGCAAAAGTAAAAGAACATTGAAGACACCATCAAATAGACCCTGATGTCATTGATTTGGAATGTCTTACATTTTGTGTTTTTAACAATTTGTAATTACTTAAATATGCAAATCCTTACTTATTATTTTGTATAAAACATCTCATTCTGCTGGGATTTAAAAACCTCAAACTGTAGAATGAATATTTTCCTTGTTTTTCCCTTTAGGCTTTCACAGTTTCCTGCTTTAGAGCTTGATAAATTCCTTGAGGATGTGAGGTAAGACATACTGCGCTCCTAATTTCAATTTATGTAAGACCTGAAGGCACAACACTTTGACACCACATGGGGGCAGCATTGGACCATTTTTATTATGTTCTTTGTTTTCAGTCCTCTTTCAAAACAATATCTAAATGTGATTTAGTTTTCCATTTTTGTATTACATCCTATAACTCCGATATTTTTTTCCATCTTCATATCTTCTCATTTCTTTGTCTCATCCATGTATCATGTTTTCTTCATCCTTCACTTTCTTGTTCTCTCTATCTCGCTGTATCAGGAATGGTATTTATCCAATGACAGCCTTCGGGTTGCCCTGTTCTCAGCAGCCTCAACCTGAGACTGTTCAATCTCCCGTTGTTGTCCCCTTGGTCAAATCCCCGACCCCTGAACCTGCAGAGCTGGAGACACGACGGGTCCGTACAACACATTGTCCTATATGTTACAAAATGATGATACAGTAAAAAGAAAAACTCTTCATTCTGTTAACTTGTTTTCTTAAATGTCATCTTGCTGAATCAAGATACATACTGAACATTTGATGGACTTAAGCACTCTTCTGAAAATGTACTAACACTAGCATAGTTCCATGCATATTGAGCTTTCATATTTCTTCTGCAGGTCGTTCATATGCAGTGTAATGTTGAGTCAGTGGAGGAGGGAGCCAAGTTTCATGTAAGTCTCTGACAACATTTACAATGTGATAACTTATTGTTTAACCTATTCAGAGTGTAAAATATGCTGTAGGTTAATAACCAACATGATGTCATATTTCAGTTCCTAGTCATACAAAAGTTAAAAAATATGAGATTTGCCTTTTTTTGTCTGTTTCTCCTTTTAGTTAACGTTACTGCTGAAACTGGAGGATAAACTGAATAGACATCTAAGCTGTGACATGTTACCTCGTAAGACCAAATCTCATATCGCACTCTGACACTCTACCTCTGAGCTTAAAGTAGTTAGTAATGTTGTTGTCGTGACCCTACCGATGAAAATGTTCACCCAGCTACCAGAGTTTCTGGTTAAGTTTTGTTACATCAACGGGAAGCTGGACTGCTCAGTCAACAGAACAACCTTTGGCATTTCCACAAGTCTAAAACACAGTGTGTGCTGCAATCTGAAAACCAAATGATATTGTTGAAGTTGTAAAATTAGGAGAAGTTAGAGGAGTGTAAAGGCTATTCTTTCAGGTGTATATCTGAGTGTGTGTTTTCTCACATTTGTCCCCATACTAGCACTTTTACAGGTGTGTAAAATATCAGTACCAGAAAGCAAACAGTATTTGCCGTTCTTGTTTGGTTAGGGAATGACAAGTCTTTGTGTGTACGTTTGCAGAATGTTCTTTCTCAAGTGAAAACACTCCTGAACCTTCAGAGTTTACAGATTTTTTTAGAAGTGCCTTTTTTTTTAGTCGATCTTACACGTTTTGATTTATAGCTAGGGTTGTGGGTGATTTGTAGAGTTACATTTGACTTTAGGTGTTGATAAAAGAAACATTTCTGTTAGTTTTAGTTTGAATAATATTGTTATTAGTGGAGGTCACTGAACTCTCAGAATTTACCACACAGCGCTTTGTATACAGTAGCTCTCCGTGTGTGTGCTCTTGGGCATGGAGGAAAGCGGGAGTGAGGTTCCAGTGGCGTCACAATATACAGCATGCAAGACTATTTTAGGCAGGGAGACTGACTGTCGTGTATGTGTCATGAAAACCTTTCACCTCTATTTTGGACAAAAAATGTTGGACTGCATACAGGAGGAGATTTTATAATGGCCATAGGGGCTTATTGAATGATAAAGGCATTCAATCAGTTGAAAGCATTTTAGGTAAAAACAACAACAAGAGTCCTCCTTGAATTGTCTGCGGATCTGTATTATTGAATGTGTCGATTGGAAATTTAGGATTTTCAGCTAAATGCTGTGCATGAAACTATAGCAAATGGAAGCAAATGAGAAAAGTTTTCAAAAACAACATGATCAGATTAAGTTGGTATGATCCAATGTGTACATTCACGCACAGGTATGGTAGGCATGTCTAATGTTGCAGGCGTGTGGGGAATGCCTGGTCTGTGAAAGGCTGCAGCTGACAGCTGTCACCTCCTGTGTCAGAAGCTGACCAGCTCTTCCCAGGCTTTCATCTCCATGTCTCTCACTGATACACTCACGCGCGCACACGCACACCCATGCACATACACATCCATATGATGTTATCTCTGTTCTGTCTTCCCACTGTTTCTCAGATTATATGCATGTTCTTGACACTCCTACCCTTAATACCACTTGCAGTCTTGCACACATGTACTGTAGCTTAAAATCAGTGCACACTAGTACACACTAGTTCACCTCGCAGACACACCCTGTCCTCTTTGTAAACAGTTCCTCCTGATGATATCTGAGGATTTTCTTTCAAGCGTTTCTTGTCAACATGCCAAAGTCCAAAGTCACATTAACTAACTGATCCATTAGATTTCCCCCCTTGTCCTTCCTTTTAGGATGTCTTTCCTACAGTCTATTTCGATGAAATCACAAATGAAGGTTGTTTTTTCCTCAGTGGAAATTGTAAGAGATAGAATATCTGAAACCACAGAAGCAAGCAACTGCCTCCCTCCACAGTAATATCTGTTGCACCATCATGTAGCTTAGGACTGCAGTTATTTTTCTTTTCTTGTAGTTGACAGTTCAACCATCCCTTTCACTTTTTTGTCTGGTCCCAGCCACATTCCTGGTGCCATGGTAAATTGACCACATGGTTATTAAAAATCAGTAGACCATGACAACTCCTCTGCTCAATAGACTGAAGGAATGACTCAACTCAAGGAAGTGACTATTAAGAGTGATAACAAAGCTAAATCCCACTGGCATTGAATACTATCCCTGTTCTAAGAGACATGTCTGAAATGTGAGGATGTTTATGCAGACGTATCTCCATGTTTTCTGGGGAAAGTGGGCATTCAGTTGTGAACCTTGTGTATATTTTGTGTCTTCTATTGATGCTCTTTGTAGTTCAGTTCTTTGTGGACTTACTTTCCCTCAGCTTTCCTCATACTCACCAAAGGCAATGTGTTGTTACTCTTCCCAGCAGGAAAAATACTGTAAGAGCAGGAAATCATTTTCTACTATGCTGCTGACACAAATTTTATCTCTGCCTACTAGATTAAATTGTTTCTGTGTAAATGTTGAATGTGTAGTCTCAAAAGAAATATTACCTAAAAAGTTCTGGCAATGCTTTAGTTAAAGAATTAAAAAATGGGATAAACTCTATGTGGGGGTAAATTAGATTTGGGGATGAAAACAGGGCTCAGTAGTGTTTTGGAAAAGATCTACAAATATCAGCCAAGAAAGAAAGTACTGGATTCTAAAACTGAAGAAAGGCAACCGGGCTTAGCTAGGTCCGTTATATCATTAAGCCTTTAACAGCCTGGCCAAAATGAAATACTTATAAACCGATAATGCTGTAATGAAGACCATGCTGGTTGGCATACTTTTTCACTTTTCCTGCCAGGCTCTTCCCTTTTTCAACCATTCAATGAAATACATAAAAACTAATCATATGGTGCCAAATCAGAGCAAAGTTATTTAATTAAACTTTACATCCAGAGCAGGTCTAGGCTATACTCTTTCCATTGGTATTGTTTTGTTGTTGTTGTTTATGTCTTAACTACAATAACCACAAGGGAAACTGTACCATGAACCTGGTAGAGTTAAGCTGAGGCAGACATGTCTATAAAATACAATTCTACAATTCACTTAGCAGACGCTTTTATCCAAAGCGACGTACATCAGAGAGTAAGAACAACACAAGAAAGGATCTAGAGACGAGGAAACAGGTCAGTAAGAGCAAACGATCAGCTTTGAGTCTGATTGGACACACAGGTGCTGACAGGCACAGAGGCAAAGCACAACATTGACGGCAGTTCTTGAGAGCTCTTATCAGTATAGAAACCATCTTAAAATCATTGTTATCAAACAAAAACTATCGTCATTACCATCATCATTAAGGTTGCAGGTATTCATGATAGAGCTGGGTCTTTAGCTTTTTCTTAAAGGTGCATTAAAAAAAATAATAATACTAACTGTGCTGGTGTGTGTTTCAGATGAAAATGTTCAAGAGTTGGCTGAAGAGCTGGTGGAGCTGGGCTTAATCAGTGAGGTGGGTGTTTTCAGATTTACATTAAAAGTGTGTGTGATACTTCATGAAAGTGTGCTATTTCTGTACCACACTGAAAAATTCTGTTCGTTGACTATAGGTGACTATCTTGTGTACCCTCCAAAATGAGCACACTTTACCATCTAAGTTAAAGATGCACATATGTCTTTTATGTGCTCATCATCCCACATGAACGATTTATGTTCACTCTTGTATATATGATAAGAGTTCATGTAGCCATATGACTCATTATTTGGATATTTTAAACAGATTCATGCCCTGTGCATCATTGAAAATGTTTTTGTTCTCAACAGGTGGACCAAAACAAAGTATCCTCTCTACTGGAAGAAACATTCAGCCAAGCTCTAGCAACGCTACCCTCGACCGTGTAACCCCCTCCTCAAAAATACACTCTTTCAACGCTGTTACATGTTGTATTAGGTTACTGAACACAGTAACTTTATTTAATGCCTTTTTATGTATTTTCTACTAAGCCTTAGGAGGAAATGTGACCAAAAGAGTGAGTATTTCCCTCTGCTCTGATTAAAACTTCCTAAAAGCGCACAAAACTTCATCATTAAGCCACTTTTAGAGTCCGGGGGAGTCTTACGAAGTCACCTGGAGTGACTTCACATTTTTATTTCAAAGGTCAAAGCATAAATGTAAAGTGTGTTTTATGTGTGGTATTCTTCTCAAGGAGTTGGCATCTAAGTTTGCTTTTAAGTTAAATTAAAAGGTAAACCTCATTAATGCTGCAAGAGACACTTGATCACCACAATACTGACAGGGTTACTTGCAGCTTTATGTTAAAGCCTACTTTTTCTCAAGGGTACAGTTATATTTAAGTGTGGTGTATTTACATTGATTAACATTATAATGGTCCGTGTCTATAAACATAAACAACCTGAGTTCTCTTCACTGGAGTTACACCACAGTCAAACTCGATGTTATAATGGTGGAGTCCACACGAACAAATCTACAGATTTGCTCACAATGAAAGGTTACATTTCTATCTAAAAGATATTTCCAAAATAAGAAAATACGTTGTTTATTTTCTGGGTCCATATGTCATATGTGCTTATACCTCTTAAATGACTCTATTTTATTTAATCTCAAACGAGAGAAATGTCCCAGCCCTCTGGCTTTTGTGATGACCAATCTGTCAGCCATCAGATTCAATACATGCAAAAGGTTGGAAGCCTGAATGGTCACTTTCTCACTTTAGTTTATTAATTGACGAATACCCCTGACTTATAACTTTAAAAGGCCTTTGACACAGAATGTGTGTTCACCAGTGCCTGTCACGTATTTTGGGAGGCATCACTCCAATTGTATCTGGAAAGAATAGATATTTGGTTACTTTAGGTACTGTGAACATGGTGTTACTGAATTTCTGTTAGTGTGAATTTGTTTTTTATTTTATTTTTTCTCCTCTAATTGCTTCATGCTAGACCTATACGCGCATGCCTTTAAAGTCCTCTTGTCTAAGTTTGTTATAGTTATGTCATTCGTTGTTTTGATGTTTGCTGCTCGTTGGGTTCACACATGCGTCTCTGCCTTTTAAAATCCATTCATGTGGGATTTGTGTACTGAACTTGGCTGCCATAATGCTGTAGGAAGAGGACCTGCCCTGGTGAATATTTTATTTATGTCATAGATGCTGTATATAATGTCTTTTTCTTGACCATTTCTTTTTCATTTCAGTCAGAGACCATATGGATGAGAGTCTTAGCCAACACATGTTTTTTTTTTTCTTCTCTATGGTTTTTCTTTTGATCAACTCTTGATAGACCTGAAACTAAGTGGGTTGACATCACCCTTCACTGACTGCAGCATCCCCTCAACTTAAACACAGCGTTTTGCATCATATATGGCTTGTTAAGACCTGTATTTAGATCAGGGAGTTGCCTGTGGCCTTTTTGTCACAGTTTGGCTCTTTGTTATTTTCATCTGGTACTACTGTGTCTAAAAAGCTCATACAGTTCAGGACATGAAAACAAGCAGAAAGAATGCAAAGAAAATATCGCACGAGGTACAATTTAAAGCAATACATTACATTTTTAATTATTACTACTTTGAGGTGTCTTCTAAATACAATCCCAATGTCATTGAACTAATATTGCATGAGCTTGCATGCAATATTAGTTAATGTTGAATTATTACGGTCACTCCAGTCATATATATTTAGGCCACTGCTGTACTTCAATCTGCCTTTTTTCACTTTTGCTTCATGTATTACCTGTAGTCATTGATGATGTATTGTTTATATTATTGGGGCTTTGCTTGAATGTCTATTTGTGAACTGCTATGATTGTATATTCCAAAGATATGTTTTAGAGTCAGCCATGAGAATGTAAAATCATCACTTCTTGGATAGAGAAGTGGTAACAAATGTGATCACCAGAGCAGCTTTATACATCTCCCCCCTCTTGCTCTCTCACTTTCTCTCTCTCTCTCTCTCTCTCTTTCCCTCTCTCTCTCTCTTCCACCCAAAGTATTGGTGGTGATGAAACCGGTTATTAAATAATCATAACGGGTGTGCAGCCTTAGCCTGTCATTCAAAGATGTGAGCCAATGGTTAAATATGGAAAGTCTATATTTTGTAAATGTGCGAATGTCAGTAAACATGTGTGTATTTTCTCAAACTTGTAATCTGACAAAATCAGCAAAGTATGAAAGTTCTTTCAAATAAATGTCTGAAATATAACCCCTTGTTCATTTTATCAGGTGTGGATGAAAGGCTTGTTTCTTTGGTTTCTTCAACTTTCCCCTTTCGTGTGAGAGACTCTTTCCCGGGTCTTTGTCTTTGCGAATGTAATACAGCAGATCAGCTTGTGAGAATTGTAAAAGCGGCAGCTGCGCCCCTCAGCGTCCAGCAGGCCGCAGGTAACTTACAGGTGCTGTCCCTGACGTCATACAGGAAGTGGACAGAGGGACGTTAGGGCTTCTTCTGTGGTCGAGCAGCTACCCGAAAGTCACTGATATTGATTTATTGAAAGGAAAGTGTGTGAAGCGCGGAAGAGATGTGCACTTTTGGTGAGTGATTTTTGGATGGCATATTATTGCGTGGGTTAATAATGTCCACACAGTGAGTCCAGCGCGAGTTTTCTGACCACGGGCCTGCTGCTGGCTGATGTGGTTTCATTTTGAAAAGCTCTTAGTGACCGATTTGAATTGTAATGATTCTGATGTAATGATTCTGGTGTATCTTTGGAGTAGATGTGATGTGATAGTTATACATATAGACTGACAAGTGAAGAGCAATAATCCATAGTTTGAACGTTTTGAAGGCATCATTGACACCCACACTACACCCTCCTATCTGTGACTCACTCGGTTCATAAGAGCTCCCCCACAGTGAGTGCAGCCTTTCTATGCAAATTCATTTGTTCCATCCATGCAGTAAACTGTTGAATGGTATCTATGCTCGTTTAGACAAATAATGTGTCCTTATATTTAGTTCAAATAATTTGTGATGTTTTGTTTGTATGGGCCTACGTTTACCAAGATTGGATTCTATTTCAAATAGAGGTAAAGACATCACATACAGAAGTCTATAATTTGCTTAAATATTATAGAAGGAAAGGAAATTAAGTATATTTTCTGCATATAAAGGCTAGGCTACATAAATGCATGTCACTTATAAATGTATACATTATGTTCATTTATGTACATTTATTCAATGTGTTTACTCTTAAATACAGTAAATGTACATAGTAGTTGTAAATAAAAAACAGAAACAGTGTGGCAGTGTAGATCTATGACGTTTATGGTCATTTAGAAAAGTATTACTGACAAAATGACTTTTTTTTTTTACCTAAATCAAAAGTAGCCTCCTTGTTAATCATTTTGCTGAAAAATGGAAGTAAAAAAACGTTTTGCTGATTATTTGTTTTTGTATTTTCCGCCCCTGAATATTTTTAAGATTATAAAAATCTAAATATATTATATTTTTAGCATCCATTAAGGTGCGTTAGAGAATACTGAAGTAGTTTTGTATATTTTGTTCAATATGGGGGGGAGATGACATGGATTTTAATATCTTCTTACCAGCCTTTTCCAAGCGTTCATCTAAGCTATGTCACAGCTGTTATTTTGATGTAAATAATATTTCTTGCACTTCTGTCATTCAGATAAGGAAAAAGGGCCTGGCAGGCTGATGAAAATGGGATTGACTCTCATACTGATCGGCCATATTAATTTCATACTTGGTGCTATCGTCCATGGGAATGTTCTTCGTCACATTTCCAAACCGAGCCAGCACATCAGCACAGAGTACACTGTGACCAACATCATCGCTGTCACCTCTGGCCTGCTCGTGAGTAAACAGATGATATGTACATTCTTTGTTTGGGTGTCTAATTTGCGGTCTTCACTTGATTTTGGCAGATCAATGAAAATGTAACAATTTATGTATATCATATCAGATATAAATAACATCATTGATTTCAGAACAACATATTTACCAACATAAAAATGCTCCAGTACTTTGCACTGTTAGCTCTGTTAAGTGTTGTGTTTTTTCCCTTGCAATCAAGACTGAACTTGCCTACATTAAGAGAGCTGGTTTTTCAAACCAGTCTCTGTCTGCCTAAGGGCAGGCTTCATGAACTAATGACGATGATCAGATAATCTGGCAGCTGCTGATGAGGAGTTGGTGTAAATGTCAAATTTATTTGAAAATGTGCTCCATGTCATGTACTCACATCAGTATTACATGATTTACAGCGAAAACAAGTTATAAAATACATTTTATTAGCACTGCTTTCTCTGCTGTTTTAAGTTTGAGGATCTTTTCTTTATTTGTGTCTGATGTCTGATTAGCCTTAAATCTGAGTGAAACTGCAGCGTCACATGCATGGGGCCAAGGCTATTACTAGTGGAGACAATAAAAAAACAGTGCACTGTAGTAGCGTTGCTAATCTTATAGAATCATCCTAATCAGATTAGGTTGTTATTGCCTAGTTTACACAAACAAGGAATTTGACTCAAAGCAATTAAAAAATGAAATCCTCATGTCATTTATATTGAACAGAGCATTGCCACAGGGATAATTGCCATTGTGATGTCAAGGAACCTTCATGTGTTACAACTGGTAAGAATTGTATTTGACTTTTCCTCTTGATGAGATCTCGTTTATTCATTCTCTATTCTCAAACTTATCAATCGTAACTTCACTCCTGTTTTTATATGATGTCATTGTGTCTCCAGCAAATAGGACTTCTAATAGCCTCCGTCCTGAATGCCCTGCTCTCAGCTGCATGTTGTGTTGGGTTCTTCTTGGCCATCAGTATTACTGTTGCCCACAATGGGCAGGGTTTGATGCTGGGATGCAATGACACAGAAGTGCCAATCAATGCTCGGTCACCAGTCAGTGCCCGATGCCCGTTTGATACAACACGAATCTATGTAAGTCATAACTTTCTTCTTATACTTACTTTTCTAATAAAGATTCCTCCTCAATTTATCTTTTCCCTTTGATGATCTCTGTCTGAAACATTGAAACCAATCAAAGCATCACAAGAGAAACCTTTCGCTGTTACTTTAATTTGCATTTCCCCCCTCTCTTTCATAACTTCTGCTCTGTAAGGACACCACCATGGCTCTGTGGGTCCCCTGTACTGGGTTAGCAGCGTTTGAGACTGGACTGTCTGTCTGGTGCTTCATTGTTGGATTGGCTCTCAGAGGGGTGGAGCCGTGTAGGAAGAGCTACATCAAAGAGCAGGTGTGTGTGTCTTTGTGCGTTGGGGCAGGTAGGTATCCTTGAAGGGTGTAACTGCTGCTGTGAGTCTGTCCGTACCTTTGTCTGACCCAGACCTCAACACACATACAACTTATCCCCTCTCATGAACTACTAGCGAGTCTGTCACACTCTGTTTCCCTGAATTGAAAGAGTATAAACCACTTTATTTAACACTGACTGATCCTGTTTGTCTCTCATCCAGTTGGAGGGAGAGGCTGAGTGTTCTCCCTACAGCCAGAACCTGATTGGACAGCGATCAAACCCTGACGCCTACTGAACAAAAAAGAAGGAAAGACTCCACTCCATAGACAAGCACAGCTAAATCCCACAGGCATGCTTCTTATGGAGACTAGATTTTATTCAGTAGTCGGCTAGACAGAAGTAAAATCTGTTCTAAACAAACTGTTTTTGGCTTTGTGGTATCACAATGCTGCATACCAATGGCTTTTGCTTTCCTCCTCATACCAAAAAGCTAACCCTAACTCTTCAATTGTTAATTCTTGAACAGTTATTCACATAATGTGCCTCTTAAGATGGTGCTTTCTATGTAATGAAGATATTATTGTCTGAAGATTGTGATCAAGTTTGCAAAAGCTAAAATGAGATGTACTCCTTTGTTTATGAAGTTCTTTTTTCTTTTTTAAATCTTGTGAGAATCTGTTTTAAAGTATATTTTAGCTTGTATGAACTTCATTTCAATGTTTTTAATATTTGACATTTTGCTGAGACTCTTAAGCACTCCAATGTTCTGTTTCTCAGACCATACTCACCAATGTTTGACCACAAATCATTGTTGTTTTTGCCATCGGTTTCTGCTCATCAAGTAAACTGTAATTTTAGACATATTATAGAAATTGTGATGCATGCAATTGAATACCAAAATCTTTTTTTTTTACTATGTTTATGTGCAGTATTTGGCTTTAAATTAAATAGGAAGATCTTAATCGGACTTCTTGGATTTGCATTGAACTAGTCCATTCTAAGGACATTATAGGTGTGACACAGGATTTTCCACTTCTACTTGATGATGTAGTCAAACCATTGACTAGTTGAAAGTAGCTTTACTAGTACAACATTTGTATCTATTTATGTAGCTTTTCTTTGTTTTTCTCTTAGCACGTCTATATTTGTTATGCTTGTGCTATTTACAAGAATAAGCTTCATATACTTTTTTGTTGCATTCATGTCTAGTAACTGATGCAGTGATGAAATTATTACAGAGGAGAAACTGAAATAACAAATTTAGATCTCCTTCCCTGTAAGCATGGAGTTGCAGTAGGTCTCAAATGCAGTGCCATGGAGATTTTGTGAGTATGTTCTTGTTTTTGGTTGTTTTTTTGGAAAAATGCTTTGACCAGCTAAAATTGAGCATAATCTGGATTGCAGCAGAGCTGTGTGTTGATGCGTGCATTAGTGTATGTACAGTATTGCGGTTGAATGTCAAGTGGGGTCATGTAAAGAGGTTAAATCAGTATGTGGGCCAGCTGCCTCAGCTGGCATAGAACCCCCCACAAGTCCACGACAGAAAAGATCAGATCAGCCATGAAACGGTTAATCTAGAGATGTGCTCAATTGTGTGGAATGGAATCATAGCACGCAGTCCTAATCCTGAGGCTGTAAGGGATAAATATTGACATCGTGTTGACGGATACAATCACAACATGTCTGTGTGGCCGTTTCAGTCATGGTTCATGGTTTTCAGAAAGATATCTACATTAAAAAAGTATTGAGTAGGATGTTGTCCATCTTTAAGCCTACTATAATAATTTTAATTTGAATAGCTGACCATTTAATCTTACTCACTTGTGATAAGGTATTCAGTATAACTTGGTCTATCATCGACTTCATGAAAAACATATTTGAAAACGTAAATTGAATGCAAATAGTTAATTGACTTTAGCTCTGCTCTATGATTATCACCATAAAGACATTTAATGGCAATCTGAATATACTTATAGGTATATAGGTTCGCACACAAATTTTCTCAATTTAATTGTTAATTAAATTATTTGAATATGTGATAGTCTAACAGGACTTTTGACTTTCCTAATGATTCAGCCTATAACTGTGGAATCCCTAACATTGACCATATTTATGGTCTTTCTTTTCATTTTTTCATTTTTCATTTTTTAATCAACTCGTGGATGTACTGCACATTTAATGTTTTTGCCTGCAATTTTGTACAATTCTGTAATTTGAATTAATGTATGTTTTGAATAAATTTTTACTATAATGTTACCTTTATGGTAATTTTCTGCTTTACAGTATGTTGACACCAAGGTTACCGGAAGGCTGCTGGCCCATCTTGTACCAAGCCACTGAGAGATTTAATTATATTTTTGCCTTCTCTTCTTGTTTTTTTCTTTGTTTTTTCAATTGTGTATTCACCCTTTGTGTCTTGTCAGACACTATCTATGGTGGAATTTCATTTAAGCCCTAAAAGCTTCCATTTGACCCTGAGGAGGATGATGAGTTCCTGCTGGCTCATGTGCTGTTGAGTCCTTGGGCACATATTTGTCACTCAAGAAGTGTTTTGATTATTGTATATTCTTTTAAACGTAAACCCACGAAATTGTAATTAAAAATATATATTTGAAACAGATCATTAAAATAAAATTATTTTCATCAAGAATAATTGGAGGGGGTCTATTTAATTTATTAATCAAGGACACAAAGCACTAAGGTGTTCTTACTTATGGTAATTTTGTTAAACCTGTAAAAATAATAATAATAATAATAATTTATCAGTTAGAATCGAGTCTGATAGGTAGCCAATCGCGCTATTTAAAAAATAATTGCATAGTATGCTGTTTAATATGGCGCACGCCAAGACATACCCGTCACAGATCTGTAGGATATTTGTATTATAAAAAGCAAAAGAGAGCATTGAATGTCCAGTCTGGAGGCAGGGGCCAATTTAATGATGTCTGCGCGGTCACGACGAGTCCGCGATCACGATGTGTGGGCTGCACGCTGCAGGCTGCAGGCAACCAGCTGCAAACAGTGAACAACCAAGTGCTGCAGTGAACGGAGCCGAGGAGCCGCTCGATGTGCTGCACAGAGAAGGTAAAGCATTTATTATTGTTACGTTAGACAGGAACTTTAGGATTAAGCTCAAACATTATTGTAGATAAGAAAGGAATACTTGGACTGCTGATGATTTCAAGGAATCGTGCGCACTAATATCGCGCTGTAGGGCTGAAGACACTGCGGGGACACACGCTCTCTTGCTGTGACTCTGGCACCGTGTGTGATTGTTGCTTTAGTGGAGCGACCTTACCTCACTGTTGCCTAGGCTACCTTAAAAAGGTCGATAACACAGGTATGGGCAATGAGGGTGTGAGATGTAACGTTTACCGGACAGTCGTGCTCCTCCTGCTTCGTAATAATTAACGTTATCAATTTTACGTCAATTTCAGAGTGATTTACGTCGATCAGCTTGTCGACTGAGAGTAGTTTGACGCGAGTGAAATTAAAACTCACGATGAACGCACACGCTGATATTTCAATAGCATGCTGCTCTAGCTCATTTGTGTGGTTTACTGTGATAGTAAACTAGAAAGACACCCTGTTGAAGAGTGTGTGAAACATCGCAGGGGAGCGTTAGTGTTGCCCGGCCAACCTCACACAAACATGAGAGTGGGGGAGTGTCTGATCGTCCTCAGGTGTAACCTTCTCATTAACCTGCACACTACACTACTAGATGTTATGGTTTGCTTTGGACATATCCTCGGTAGTCCTAAATGACACAACGCTCATATAAAAGCTTATGTTACACTGCTCGTCATCTACACATCTTCGGTTATGGTGTTTTAGAAATGAACTATAATGATTTCTATATTTTAATTGTAATATATAGACTATAAAATGCAAGGGTGTGGCTGATAGAGACATACAGTACAACTTCAGTCAAAGAAAGCCCCACTCACCCTGCTTGTTTGACCATTAGGCCTTTCTTTGTGTGTTTAAACCTGCAGGACCTGCTTGATGGATCCACTCCTGTTTAGCATTTTGATGTGAAAGACGGGATCCTGTTGTCTGGAAGGGGAATCCATGAAATCATTTTGGAAGATAATACGCATGTGTCAGACTCGGCTTTGGATGTGTCTTTGAATTGTCAGTGGAATTAGGGTAAGAAGACACAAAACCAAATGCAGTGGACATAAGAGGCAATCAGAAAGCCAGTGGAAGCCTCCAACAGACAGCTGATGGTGGAGCTATTATCTCAGGGACATGCTTTCAGACTGAGGATGGAACAAGGGGAATCTGTCCTTGACCAGCGGATTACCAGGCTGAGGAGCAATACCCAAACACTGCACAAGCTGTGCAGTTGTGGAATTGTCTGCTATTAACTCTGACTGACACTAAAAATGGACTCAATTGCTTATAATGTTAAGCTTTAAAAACATTACCTACTTGTGCAGTGGTTGTCTATGTGATGATAGTCATCCGTCTGAGCCAGAGTGGAGAGATGTCTAACAATAAGATGCACTCACTTGTTGGAAGAGGATGTACGAAAGACTCGTTTCCAAAAACTAAAATGATGTCCTGCAGACAACGAGTTCCTGTCTGTTTTCATTCCCTCCCTTTTTTCTTGCTCCTGTTCTACCTGGTTACTCCTGCTCTGTCCATTCATTTGGAGTACATAGAGAGCCACAGTGAATTTAGCTGTGAACCCATCAGACTGAGAATGTGCCAGGATCTGCCTTACAACACCACCTTTATGCCAAACCTATTGAATCACTACGACCAGCAAACTGCGGCACTCGCCATGGAGGTAAGTTATTATTATTATTATTTTTTTTGATAGCTACTGATACCGAGATTAAATTACATATTATTTTATAAAAATATGCATTTGAAATCCATGAAATTTAAGTTTGGTATCTGACATTTAGTTGTTATTTAATGCACATTAACATCCCTTTTAATTTGACGTAGTGTCACGCACCTGCTGAAGACTAAAATATTTCACACACAGTCTAAAAAGAAAGTATCAGAGACTTGGAAGGTTCAAGTAAAGGGAACATCCATTAAGAAATGTCCCAAGGGATATTGAGGTCCTATGTTAGAAAATATTTAACTTTTAGCGACATAAAGTGTTGTAGTTATGTCTCTTTAACAATTATATTCAGTTCATTTACTTTATTATTTACATCCTTTGCAATCAAAAACCAATTCAAGTTATCACCTCTCAAACCAACTCATCCCTTTTCATTAGAAAGTACACAGAGGTGGTTTACACTGAAACAATGGGGAGGCCTGGTTCTACACTGAGGGAAGGGGTGCTTTTTAAAATATCGCCCCAATACGTATTATCTTGATGCTGTTGTAGAACAAATTGGATACATGGAGTCACACTTTATGTAGGAGTAAAGTGGCTTTCACGCAGGCGTGGAATATCAAAGAGGTACCCTGAGCAGTGAAACAGTTGAGAAAGGTGATAGGTGATCTCCTCATGTTACAGCTCCATCACTACATGTCACTGTTCCAGGTAGACAAAGATGGATGTGTATGGACTCACTCACGGTCTGTCGTCTTCGTGGATAGTCAATCTGATCAGCAGCAGCAGAGTTCGTTTTAAATCAGAAAGCAGCTGATAATGCGTGACTGATACTTTTTGATGAATATTTTGAAGTGCATTAGCATTATGTTTAAAATGATGAAAAACTGCTGTGTTACACACTGTCTGAACGCAACAAAAGACACACACTATCCATCTATATCATGTTACCTCTCCTTTGTTACTCTCCAGAGAGTGAGAGAGAAATAGAGTAAAGCAAGGTGTTGCTCAATAACAAGACCGTAATTACCCCTCTGCAGCAATTATTTGTCAGGACCATAGAGCCTGTATGTGTTTGAGGTTCGGACTTTTATGTGTTTTGGTGTGGTGGTTGCACAGGGAATGACTTGGTAGACCCGAGGTAGTTTAGCACTAACTATATTGAAGATCTATTATTACAAAGAAACAGTAAACAGGGACACAGAATCTTTAGAGACAAGACCAAGCCTGTTTTTACAGGACAATCAGGTTACTTAAATCTCCAAACATTCAGATAGTTATGTTTCTGTATTCATCAATCCACATGTACTTGAGCCTCAGTCTCACTACATATGTTGATTGACATAATTTACCCTTGTTTTGGCTGCCATGTATGTGGTTGTTTAAGCAACACTGAATGATATCCCATAGTAGTATTAAATCTGCCTCCAGCTGTTCATAGTTCGCATATTAAATAACTGCTGTTGAAAAGCAGATGAATGTGGACAAGTCCTGTGTTGGCTGTGTGCACATTGCGTGTTTAATCTTCAGGGATTTTTATTTTGCTTGATGTTTAGTTAATATTTTCCCATGTCAAAAAGCAGATGAATATCAGCCAAAAGATCAAACTGAAATCCTCCATGCTACAGCTCTCTGAATATTCAATCACAGAGAGGGATTTCCAACATGTTCTCTTGTCAAAATATGCAGTGGATCACTGCTGTCAGGCACTCCCTTTCCCCTCTCAGAAAATAGAGGCATTAGAAAAACAGCTTTATTTGGGATTGACAGGCGTGCATGTTGAATTTGCTCAGCCTGTCTCGAAAGGGTGATAACACCCATCGGGGTACAGGATTCACTCATCACAAAAAGGACTGTGCAAGTATTCAAGTCAAGTAAATTCTCTAGTGAAATGTCAAGACACACAGTATAAGGGATGTATCAAACTTCTGTTGTTGAACTTGATTTGACCCAGATGAAGTCAGAGCCAAGTAACTGACACCTTCAGTCCCTGCAGTCAAAGAGGAGACATTTTTTTTGAAGATGGTTAAGAAGCAACATGAGCCCTGGTAGTTTTCCTGCCCTGGTGTGCTTTGAGCAGGCACGGTAGTCCTGCTAGGAAGGAACACTGGAGGAAATTTTATGAAATCTGTCTTGGGATAGTGGCTGCATCATAAGATCTAAACATGCATGGACATACACTCAGATTATTTTAAATACTGTAAATAAATATCAATCGTTAAGTGTCATTCTGGTTTGGGGGAATTTCACTTGTTTCAAATACTGTAAAATAAACAACTGCTACCATGTTGGTGTGAAGTACGTCATGCTTTTGGGAAACTGAAGCCATTGTCAGCAGCTGTTATCACTTTTTGGGTCTCATCACATGAAGAATGTTTGCTTCGCCTCAGAAGGAAAGCTGTCATGCCTTGGCTGACTTGAGTTCTCTTTAAGTAAATGGCTGTGACATATTCAAGCCCTGGACTCAGTTGTAACAGATGTAACAAGGGCCCTGTTTTGAGTAGTGTGGAGTCGTTCCGTTATTGACTCATCAGATTTGGCTGACATTGAAAATATTACCTTTTCTGCCTCTTCCAAGCTGAGAAAAAAAGGATTATCCCTGTGTGCAAGTGCATGCTTAAAAAAACCCTGTCCAAATGTATTTCATGTTTGAATGACAGGCTCAAGGTACTGAGAAGTTTTTCTCCTGTGTGTGTGTGAGACTGACAGGGGAGGTTAACTGAGCCAGCTGTCATCTCTCACTAGTGCTAACTAGCTGCTAATCTCTCTCTCAGTCTCACAATGAAGACATTGATTCCTGCAGACCAACCACCACCCCATCTGCCACAATAGTCAATTAAACCTGGAAGGAGAGGGTGAGAGTGAGTGAAACATGAGAGGGGGACATGGAAGAGAAGGGAAATGAATTTCGAATGTGGGGATTGTGAGACGTGTGAAATCATTTCTGTGTGTGTGTGTGTGTGTGTGTGTGTGTGTGTGTGCAATTGCATTCTTGTATGTCACTCAGGAATATGGCCTGCACTGTCCATCTGCCACATTATGTTATGGTTCCCAAGGGGATGTGCAGTAGGCTTTGACACTATTTGTAGTCCATTTAAAACAAAGACAGTTAGATATTACATTATTTGGACGTCTGTCTGCGCTAAGAGACAAGATTTGGTTCAGTAGCTTGATGCTATTGTCAAGTTATTTTATTTAAATACATATTGAGAGGTTTTGTCAGAATGAAATATAGTGGGACACTTCACAGGACACTCTCTGTCACTGAGTTTTAAAGAAACACAGTACACCACCAGTAAATTGATACTAATACGAATCAATTTAAAAAACATATATCAGCTGTTTCTACTCTAGAGAATTTGGTGCTGTAACAGACAAAGAAAGATGTCAGGAAGGAGGACAGACTCACTGTGTTGTGGGTACAATATGCCTTCAAACATAACTAAAGACACTCATGAAACAGAGAAAAGGCTCAGCCTGCCCTGTTTGTTCTTTGAAAAAATAAATAACTATATAAATAGGCATGCATGATGCGAAAGTTGCCAAGCCTAGGGCCTTGGCAGCCCAGATGCCTGCTTGGCCAGAGAGTTCAGTCTTGAGTTAATGGAAAGATATTTGGCTCCCTGTGATGGAGTTTTATTTTGGTGCGATGTAGATGACATTAGGCGCCATCTGCCTTTCTTCTGACATTAATATGTTAGATTTACTTTATTCAATTATTCAAATCAGTAAGAAAAAGGTGAGAACGTAGTCTGGTCCCCACTTCTGCAGTCTTTCAATTAAAGCCCTAAATTCTCAATTGTCCTATTTGTTGTACTATATTTAAATAAAGTAAGCCAAGACAGGTCAAAATATCTGCTGTAGAAATGCCTATTGTTTTGCATTGCATATTATTAACAAACAGTATATGACAGTAAAACTGTATCAAATAATATTTTAAGTTTCATGTTAAAAAAATCCCTCCAGTTTACATTGTAATTTTTTAACACAAAAAAATCAAGGTTTAAAAAAAACAAAACACTGAAGTGTATTCTTTGCTGACATTATTCCTCATTGACTTCTTCAGAAAATTCCAGGACAATCTTTTTCTTTTGGATCCTTGAGTGAAGGAGATTAGAAAGCCCCGGGTCTTACAGTCGGCTAAAGAATGGCCCATTTGGCTTACAATAGAGCTCAGTGTTTGTAAAGCAAATAGACAGCAACCCTAGCTCTGAATGACGGGACCTAGAGCTGTCAGTCACTCTGTTTACATGCCAACTACAAAATCAGCTTATTTGGAGAAATCAAATTAAAGCAGGGAATTTGCTGCAATGACCTGAGCACAACCCATCTTTGAGGTATGACATTTGTAAGGTTACTGATTTCCACATTTAAAATAACTCAGATAGTTTAAGTGTATTAGTGATATAACACTCCAGCCTACTGAGCCCTTTTCTTCTTTTGCTAATGCAGCCTTCAGACTCACAGCACAAGTACAGAACCGGCTCAGTAATAAGAGGGTACACCATTTTCCTTGATTTATGCTTTCATCTGAGATTTAAAGTCTTTGTATCCCTTACTCCACTTAAAGTATTTAGTCCAGTTTGGTTCCTTACATGTTTAAGAATTCAAGTTACTGCAGAGAGCTGGCACTAAGCTCTTTCTCGAAGTGTAACACAGTCATGCATTCTGCCTTCATTAAGCAGGGTTCTGGTTACATGGACCAGTAGCCATCTGACAGTAATGTGAGGCTAATACATTAAATCAGAAGTATATGATACTCAATTTAAATTATTAAGGGTTGAAACTGAAAGTAATTTTTTTTTAATGTCTGGGTTTCCTGTGAAAAATGTCTCTAATGAGAATAAAATGCTCTCAACTCCCTTTTAAAAGAAAAGGTCAACAGCAGAACTGTCTCAAAGGAACAAATGTAACCAGCGTTCAAAAAAGGTATTGCAGTCTAAATTTAAAATATTGGAGAGAGCTGTCTCCCCCCGCCCCCCCCTCCCTCCTAC